TAAGCAGACACCAAGCCACTGTGACCTGTAATCTGGTAGCAACTATCTTGGCTTTAATTATTTAAAAAAAAATATTTAAATTTCTTTCTTTTTCCTGAGGAGACTGGTGAGGCTCCGTCTCCCTTGCCTTTAGTGACTGCACGTCCCTGATAATGGGTTTCTATTTTTCTGGGCATTGTTGACAAGAGGAACTGATGTAATTATTATTTAATACTATATGATACGGGCTATGTATAGTATACATGTGAGTGTGCATTATGAAAATGAAAATGGAAATAAAATATTCATTACAAAAAAAGAATTTTCTGAGAACTCTGAAAACAGATAATTCATCTAAATGAAGTAGATCTTTATTAAGTCTTGTTTTCAGCCTAATGTTATGATGGAAGTAGCCAGAGTGGTTATGGATTTGCAGGATGAGGCCTGGTCAGGTGGGGGATAACAACTGTTTTAGTTTTTCTGGATCTCTTAAAAGTTCTTTGGTATTGTTGACCATATTATTATGCGATAGAAATAGTGTAATTATTCTTGTTCCAAGGAAGGGAGATAATTGATACTCTCTTTGCTTTATACTTATATCCACAGGCTTCCATTTGTTCTCTAAACTATTCAACAACTTCATGAACCTTGTAGATGAAGCAATCTTAGATTTAGGTTGAAGAATCATCAATATTTGGATCCACTGGTCTCAGTTTCTACTATTAGGTAAAAAGCTACATGGAACAGAAATGAATCTTAATTTACTGACTTTTTGTTGAGTAAAGCTTTTAATTGAGTAGTCATAGCTTGCTTCATGTTGAGTTAGCATACTGAATGAATCTAGCCACCGTGGATTATAAAACATGGTGTGAATAGATTTCTGGTTCATTTAATAAACTATATATATGTTTAAAATGTTCCATTTTCAATTTTTCTTCATCATGACTGCAATTTATGGCCTGTTGCGTATGTTACTTAGCATATCTTTAACTTTTTTGCTTTTCTTCAAAAAGGCAGAGTATAAGATTTGAAATACAAAATACTTGGTTGGGAATGATAATAAATGATGAGCTGAAAAGGTTTTCTGATTTGGACCAGAACTTTTCTAGTGGAAAGACATCTCCCAATAATTTTCTTCCAGCATGTACCAGGAAAAACCTGATTGTCTGAACAGAAGCTTCTGCTTAATACATGGCCCTGACTAAATAAAATAAGAGTATGCAGTACTGCATTCCTGGCTTTATTTTTGGTAGCTCATCTTCCCCTGGACTGATTCCCACTGTAGATATAGAATGAAAAGAGAGTTAAAATGTATTTATTATTTTTAATTTTTATGTGAAAGAAATACTTTACCTGTCATAGAATTCTGATCCTTCCTCCAAACCAGGCAAAAGGCCAATTAAGAAGGCCTGAAGACTTGGCAGGAGAGATTTCTGAAGTGGGAGAAAATAATTTTCATACAAATCGAGCAAGACGGGTTTCACTGACAATGCTGCAACACCAAGCAATGGAAAAAGGCCTGAACTGGAGAGAGACACAGAAAGGGATAGGGAAAATTCAATCTCTGCCAGTGTTATCTTGGATATTGAATTATAAACATATTATGACGACAAGCTGCAATGAATCTGTCTTCCCCTTTTTGAGAATACTGGAAGTTTTGTAATTAAAATAGATACGATAGATAGATAAGATAAAGATTTTAATTACAAAATGTTCTGATCCACAAACCCAGGGAATTTATGATTGTTCATTAGTGCTATGATTGCTATAGTGCTACTATAGTTGATTAAGTTGGCCTTTTCATCAAGCTCATAGTTATATTAACCATAATTAAAATTCAAGCAAAGCTATTATTAAAAGAGATGTGGCCTTTTCTAAGTAGCCAAAGCTGAAGGAAGGGAGGCAATTGGTGTTTGTATTTCTAAAGCTATAGTATTTTCCTCCATACTAAGCATGGTTTAATCTTACACACTAATTAATTAAGATTCCTAAACGTAATTAACACTAGCTGGACCTTACTTAGAAGATAGGTAGAAAGAGGACTGTCAATAAAATTAGGCTTTAAAAATCCCCAAAGTTTACCTGTAGAGAAATAAGTCCTTTGCAAGACATTTTGTTCCAATAATTTTAAATATTACTTCATAGGATTCCAGTGCTTTTATATGCACTCCAGTAGGTAATGCTGGGTGTAAACACTGGGACAATCTTTTACTGATAATCAAGCGTCTTGGTAAAAGGGAATACTTCAAATTACTTTGAAGAGCCTATAAAATAATTAAGAATCACATATTAAATTTAAATTGGTATGAATTAGGAACCATATTGTAGTTATATTTTTATTTTTATTTAAGAGAATTAAAATGCAGATATTTTCTTTAACAGAGTTTCAGAGATCTTTATAAAAACTGATCACAAAACCCATGGATATTTATTATTTAATATATCACTTCACCAGATTAAATCCCTAAACTAATTATGAGATTTTAGAAATAATAACTTGTCAAATAAATCAGCAAGAACAAATACTGCAACTTTCAGGAATGTTTACTATCTGGTGAACATTTTTCAAGTATCATAATGATCTGCAGAAAATAGCTACTCTCACATATTTGAAAAGGGTGGGATGGGAGAAGTTGAGAATTTTTTTTAAAAAAACACAGACACAACAGGTTAGCTACAACATAAAAATATGTTGTTTTCTTTCTCTGCAGGGGTACAAAACACTGCATTGAAACTATTATAAAAATAAATAGCCATTTTACAGAGCTCTCTTTTAATAATTACTAAAATAATGATTCCGTTATCCAGTGAAGTAAGTATTAAAATATTTATGACTGATTCTGATAGAAAGAGAACATATATTTTTGAACCTAACTTGTCTTTATACCTGGGCACTGCATTCACCTAAAGATGTGACAGAACAGAATTTATTACAATCCCATACAAAGTATCTTCCCAAATAATTTCTTTTACCAGCAATACTAACAAAAATAAATATATGTTGAAAAAGAAAACAGTCATACCAGTGGTGAAAATTTAAAAACAATTACTACTGGTTTTGTGGGTGTGGCTTGATGGGCATGGCAGGGGAAGGATATTGTAAAATCTCCATTCCCACCCCACTCTGGGGCCAGCCAGAGATGATATTTGCCGGTTCTCTGAACTACTCAAAATTTCTGTTACCAATTCTCCAGAATATGTCAGAACCTGCTGAATTTCACCCGAGTCATATAGTATATAAGAAAGCTTCAATTTTAGAATTGCAGTTACATCAGAAGAAAATAAACATATATGGAAAATATACAATGAATCGTTCTTTGATAATGAAACAACAAAATCTGAAATAAAATATATTTATGATGTCTATGTGTAGCCTAAAAATATTGAAGAAACCAAAAGACCTTTAAATGAGCATAGTCAATATATTCATTCAAGAGGTAGAGGAGCTCTCACTTTAATCTCACTGTACTTAGTAATGGAAAGGATAATTCAAATACCATATTTTTCGGAGTATAAGACACACCTTTTTCCCTCAAAAAAGAGGCTGAAAATCTGGGTGTTTCTTATACACTGAATACAGCATTTTTGGCTTCTCAAAACCCTGCCCTCTTCACCAAAATGGCCATGCATAGCCTATAGGAACCTTGGAGAGTGCTCCTGGGGGCTGGGAAAGGCAGAAATGAGCGAAAAACAGCCTGTTTTTAGCTCATTTCAACAATTCAAAAAGGCTATGCATGCCCTTTTTTTTGACAATTTTTTTGCTCATATTTTTTTTGGGGGGGGGCATCCCCCAGGAGCACTCTACAATGCTCCTAAAGGCTATTCATGCCTTTTTGGGGGGGGGGAGCCCCGAGCCCGGATTTGTGAAAAACGGGCCGTTTTGGGGAGGCCTGCAGAGTGCAAAAACTTTTTTTTTAAAAAAATTGCCTCTTCAAAACCTTGGTGCGTCTTATGCTCTGGTGCATCTTATACTCCGAAAAATACGGTATATACAGTAAAAAACAATAATTTCCCAATATCCCAGTAATAACATTTATGAATGGTAAACTTCATTCTTTTTTTAGACTTCATTCTCTTATGCACACATGACTTCCTAGAGACAAAAAGTTTTCACTTATTTGAAAAATATTCCTTCATTGTACTTCAAATAATCTAATACAGAGAAAGCTGGGATCTGATTTTTGTGAACGTTCTCTGTTTTAAATTAGTTGAAGAGCTTGTAGTCTCTTTATTATTATTCATTGTAAGAGATATTTTATCGTAGATTTTTAGTATCATACTTTTTGTTCAGTTACTAAGTCATGTCTGACTTGGTGTGGCCCTAAAGACCATAGCATGCAAGCCCTCCCCGGTCCTCGACTATCCTCGGAGTTTGCCCAAATTCATGTTCTTCAGTTGATGAAACTATCTAACCATCTTCTTCTCTGTCACCCCCTTCTCCTTTTGCCTTCAATCTTTCCCAACATCAGCGTCTTTTCAATGAATTCTCTCATTAGATGGCCAAAGTATGAGCTTCAGCTTTAGAATCTATCTTTCCAAAGAACAGTCAGAGTTGATTTCCTTTAGGATTGATTGATTTGATCTCCTTGAAGTCCAACACCACAGTTCAAAAAGTGTGATTTTTTTTACTTTTAGCCTTGCTTATAATCCAACGCTCATAGCTATTCATCACTATTGGAATATATTGCACTAAAATTCCTTAGATATTGCTACTTTAACATCTTATTTAAAAACTTATAAATTATTAAAAAAGACAGATACTACACCTTGTTGAGTTTCCCAAGAGAAGATATGAGATCTGCCCATTCACTTGAAGATTCAAAGTTCCTCAAAGCTTTATCAATTGCTGAAGAATAATTTCTGTACCTATAATCGCCAAGCAACTCCTGCTCTTCCATATCCATTTTAAATGACCATATCAAAATGCTCTGAGGAACTAAAAGCAAACCTTTGATAAGTTTATTTCTTATAGATATATGTCTGTAAATATTTTAAATAAAACAGAAAAATCAAAATTGAAAGAATTAACTTACGTTCAGCATAAAATGCTAAACTTTACAAAAAACAAACAAACACCCAAGGACTATAGCTTTGGTACACTGTAGTTCAATATTCACTCAATATATGTAAATATTGTTCATTTTACTTTCAGATGAAACTGTAGAATTGAGTTGAATTGAGACCAAGTCACACTCAATATTAAATTGATATTTATTAATAGAAGCACACATTTATTTAATAAATGCATATTTTATTTTCTAGCTATGCTTTATTTTTGTAAATATCCAGAAGGAAGAGATTATTTTAATAAACTAACTTTCACTATATTGAACGTATTTTATTTCATGGATTACCGTAAGCATTAAACATTTTCTTCCTGCATTAAGTTAATGATTAACTTAAAGAAAATCACATGAAATGTCAATACCAAAAGTTGATATCTTAAAGTAAGAGAGTACAGCATATATTTGCTTAAGAAAGTATCAGTTACATCTTTCTCATGTGAATTTTATGAAAATACATTTTAAACCAATACAATGAATCAGCGAGAATCTCTTATTTCTTTTCATAGCATTAATGAATTATAGTCACCTTTTAGTAGGCCTGGCACTGAGCCTTGATTGGATGAGGGAATGCAATTGAAGTGGTTGACTGGATTAACAAACTGAAAATGCATTTATAGTTTGCCTGTGCTTTTGTAAAAAATAAATAAATTGGAATACGTAGATTTGGTGATAGCAACTGATTGTAACAATATGTTAAATATTTGGATAACTTCAAAAACTTCTATGAATTCAGACAATTACAGGCAAATTATTTACTACATACTGCTCCCTTGTTATAACAATTTCACTGATTGACAGTTGATTTCCAGACCAAATTCTGGAATTAAATTTGTTGAAGGGGTAGCTTTTCCAATATATTCTTCAGGAAAGGCTGTTCTGTCTCTATTTGACAGAAAAATGATAAAGAATATTCATCGAAATACTGAATGACCTACTAATAAACCAGGATATTAGAGAAACTGGCCAAGTTTGTCCTTTTTTATTGGCAATCCTGCTTGGTCAGGCTCTTTGTCTTTGAGATGACATTCATGAGTTGTGGGTTTTTAATATATGTTTTTGATATAATTGATTGTTCTTTTGATAACAATTGTTTTTATTAGTGGTTCTTACATTGCAATTGTACAATATTATTATTAAACATTCTATTATGAAACAATGAGGTAAATTTTTACATAGCAACTGCTATCACTATCATCACTATGCCTCAAAACATAGCAGAGTTAGAAATGTTATAACTAATAAAATAGTTAAGATTTCAAAGATTTCAGAGCCTTTTGAAGTGGGATGGCTATAATAAATTAGTACATAATTATGTGATCTATATTCTTCATCTATTCCTCTAAAATACCCTGTCTGAATGTTTTACATATAAAATATCTATTTTCCTAGCAATATGAAAAATAGATTAGCAATAATATCAAGGTATCCGTTTCTATCAATTGTGTTATTACTTGCATAGTCTTAAACCATTTTCTCATTTCAGCATTGCTAGAAGCCAGGCAATATCCTGATTTGGATCTTTTGCTCAATCTGCAGCATTACCACAGTAATAGGGATTACATAGTAGGGATTGCAACATTACACACATTTGCAGTTCATGACTAAAAGAAAGCATCACATACTTAGCTCAATACACCTCATATTTAAGTCTAGCATTCTGTCACTCTGACCTAATTTATTTTTCACCCCATGAAATGTAATGTATGGAATAAGCAATATTCATATTTTAATTGCTCAGCTGTAATCCTTGTATAGCTTTTCAAAAGTTTTACTTTTGAAACTGTAGATATATCTCTATAAAAAGATTTTTGTTTCTGAACGCATTTACATAAGTATCCAGCTACTATAAATAAGAACATCTAGACATGGCAATTGGAAAGGCAATTATCTAAGACCCTGTTCCTCAATCTGGGCAACTTTAAGTTGTGCAGACTTCAACTCCCAGGATTCCCCAAACAGCAGAGAGTACATGCATATGCTGTATTGGGTTTTAGAAGCTGCTGGGAATCCTGAATGACTACTCCAAATTATTTTGAAGTCTTATAATTGAGAATGGATTCCAGCTATCCTACACAGATTCAATAGAGAATTGTCAGATCTAATGGTGTATATCTAAGTAGATGCTATGAATGGCACACCTACCTTTCTTATTTGTTTCTACTTTCTACTCTGATTGTTGTAAGTGTTAACTTGTCTGAGTGCAATAGATTTATAAGTGCAATAGAATGCTTAGATGGATTTAGGTCAGTAATTATTATTTTAAAGTAGAAAACACAAAATTATTTCCCAGGTACATTGATAATAATGGAATTTTTTTTAATGGAAAGACAGCAAACTCAATTAAGAACCTAGAATTAAGAATGTTTCAAATTTTTGTTCAATTAAACTAAATATGGTATATATTTAGTGAATAATTAGGCCTACCTTTTGATGCTCTTGAGAAGACAACAGACAGAACATGAGCACTGCTGTATTCTCAAATACCAATAATTGGAACTGAGAGCCATATAGGCTCCAATTTTGAAAGTAATATATAACCATTGAAAGGGCTAGCCAATTTTCTTCATGAATCTGTCTAATCCAAACGTATGTTTCTTAAACTACATGCTTCAGTGAGAGATTACATAATACTGATAAAAAATGAAGTGGATCGGTCAAGCTTGTAAAACAACTATTCCAGTCCTAAATTGGCTAGCCCTTGGAGGTTCCAACATTGTTTCTCAAACTTTTCTGCTTTTAGGGATTGTTCATCAGGTTGGCTCTATAGCCCTTTACTAGCAGTTAGACTTATATACCGCTTCATAGGGCTTTCAGCCCTCTCTAAGCGGTTTACAGAGTCAGCATATTGCCCCCAACAACAATCCGGGTCCTCATTTTACCCACCTCGGAAGGATGGAAGGCTGAGTCAACCCTGAGCCAGTGAGATTTGAACAGCCGAACTGCAGAACTGCAGTCAGCTGAAGTAGCTTGCAGTGCTGCATTTATCCACTGCGCCACCTCGTCCTGCTTCCAGGAAAGCGATAAACCTGAGTGATCAACTATAGGCTTATCACTGTCCTGGAAACAGGATCACATATTCTAGTAAAGAACTGTATAGTCCACCTGATGAACAACCCCTAAAACCATAAATTTTGAGAAACAATGTTGGAACTTGCCTTTAATTTAGATTAGCATTATGCTATTATAAAAATATGATAGGCTTGCTTTATTATATTGATAGTTTCTTGTATTCTAAAAAATGAAGCTCTACATACATGGTCAACACAGGTAGTCCTCAAGTTATTTATTAAATTTTTATGCTGCCCACCTCCCTAATACAGTTACTCTGGATAGCTTGGAATATGGATATTAGAAAAAGTTAAAAGGTGCTAAACACAATTAAGAATAAAAAAATTAAAATTAAGAGTAAGATTGACACCTTGGGGGATTGAGAATCTTCTGTACCCTATCAATCATCCCCAATGTAGCAGCCCAAGCAGCAGACCCAACTTTTAAGACTTGCCTGGAAGTCCAGGAGTGTAGGAATGGATCTCACATGAGGGTAGGGCCCACAGCAGAAAACGTATGACAACAATTGGACTGGCACTTCTGTCGCTAAATGATCTGGTAAGTAAGTCATTATATGGCTGCCTGAATTTTCACCTTTTTTTGCCATGGTTGTTAAGCAAATTACATGACCACTAAGCAAATCTGCTTTACCCCATTGACTTTGTTAGAAACCAACTGGGAGGGTCACAAATGGTGATCGTGAGACCCTAAGATGCCACAACCCTCAGAAATACATTCTGGTTGTCAAGTACCCAAATCAAATGGCCGCAGGGATGCTGTATAAATAAGTGTGAAGACAGGTCAAAAGTTTCTTTTTCAGCAGCATTGTAACTTTGAACAGTTGAAGATGATCTTACCCTATTTATTTGCAACTTAACTTACCTACTTTTATATTAAATTTTAAAAAGACGCCCCAAAATCAACATTCATTCTCTTTTAGCAGATGAAGACTATAACATGGAAAATCACAACTGGAATTCTTTGATTTTCATGACAATTAAAACGCTTAATTGGAAAATTGATGCACACTATCCAGGGCAACTTATTTTGTGTGACTGAGGAAAAACAAATTAATTCCATTTTGGCAATCTCACTACATATGCAGTAATCTTGGATTTAGCTATCTAACGATGGCAAAAACTAAAAAGAAATGGAAGACTATTCTGATCTATTTTTTAAAAATAGAGATATAGAATGCTGCTTTAAAATAGGGGTTTTGGTTGAAGGCCAGAAGTGCTATTTCATGAATAATAGCAGACCAATAATTTAACATCTAGATAGTATTGTAATATATTTTCTTTGCCCGCTTTAGTCCATTTTGCTTACACCCAGGAAACAGTGATGCATTGCCCTGCAGAAACCATATCTCTGAAGAGCTGGCTTAATGGAATTGAGCAGGGTTTTTTTCCTTTAAATGACTCTAAACATTTTTAAAGGCAGCAGTAATAAATTATGCAGCTAACAATGGTGTGTACATAAGGTAAAGAATATTTTAAAAATCCCAATCCTCCCATGATGCAATAAGCTTTTTTCTCCTTGCTGTTGACAGGCTGCTGCTGCCTACAAAGCAAACAAAACCCAACAGCTGTTAACATAGACAAACCGATCACAAACAGCTGGTACCAGAGAAGCGTCAGGAGGCATTCTGTACAATCTCGGAAATCACCGGACGCACCAACCCGTGTATCCAAAGAACAAAGGGGAAGATATGGAAGGGTATATTACACATATTGGTTGCAATAACCTGGACGATTTTCTCAGTTCAGATTTAGTAAAGGGGCGCCACAGACCTCCTTCCTCGCCCATTTGTTTTGTCCTCTGGAGCAACTGGCAAGGATTGAGATAACATCTGCTCCCTTAAGAGGAAGTACCGAGGGCAACCTATTTTCCCGGAACGAGGGGGGGGAGATTTGCTCAGTGGTGGAAAAGGGCTTTCTGTGTGTGAAAGGCGAGCGGGAGGGGAGAGTCCACCTCGCTACTAAACCTCGCAGTCGCCTTTGTAGAAAAAGGAAGAGGAGCAAATGGCACCTTCTGCATCTCCGCAAGTCAACACCGTCGGCGACTGCACAGCTTTCTTTCCGACTCACCGTCCGAAAAGGGTCGCCGCAGCTGTTGCTCTTTCCACAGCTGCTCCTCTTGCAGGGGCGACGTGTCCCACGGCTGGGCGGGACTGAGCCAACACCAGACTGAAAATACTGTAAGTGGGAGGGAGCAGGAGCAGGAGGAGGAGGAGGAAAAACCGGAGTACAGTATGGAACGGCGCGTCTCAAGGGTGGCTGGATTTGGGAACGTCACGCTTCCCTTTCTCTCTTCCGCGGCCAGGTTGGGGAAATACCATTTTCCAGGAGGGGCGGAAAACGCGATGGTGATTACCGATGGATCGGTATCTTTGAAAGGTCGTAAGGGAGTTTCTTACATGTGTATCGTTCCGATTCCTAATTTAATGATGCGAAGACCGACTCGCTTGCAGTCGGTCACAAAGGCGCCCCGACCCTCCCCGGAAAGATGGTACATTCGTAGATGGTGTCTCTGGGCTTTTTTTTTTTTTTTTGCTTAGGTTCCATCTACTGTCGGAATTGGAGACTGCAACAGATTTGTGAAAAGTTGTTTTGATAGAACTGCGGTAGTGTTTGAGGTTAGATCTGGATAGGTGGGGCTGAAAGTATCGATCTGTATGATTCTAAATAGGTTCCCCTAAACCCAGCTGATCTACTTCCGATCTTGTGGCACGTGCCACAAGCGACAGAAACGTTACACGTTGTGTTCTGTCTTTTATTTGTATATATTTTTCCTACTTAAAAAAAAAAAAGTAAGCTGCCCAAAGTTGTTTGAAGTCTGATGACTTCTAAGGTAGGTAGGGTGTGTGTGTGCGTGTGTAATTTTATATGTACTATATGCTGATTTCCCTCCCTCCTAACAATTTATAACAGTTCGTTTAGTGACCGTTCAAAGTTACAATGGCAAGAAAGGTCGTAAAATGGGATAAAATTCACGTAACAACATAAATACTGTGGTGGTCAATTGTGGTCACAACTTGAGTAAGACATGTAAAAAAGAACTTGTATTAGATACTTGTGGTGGCAGGGTATTTGAGATAATTCTGAGTACAATAGATGATTTTCTAAAAATATAGGAATGTATGGTTTGATGATATAACCCAGTGAGGACTAACCTTTTTTGATCGCGTTCAAAAAGTGGGGGGAGCACAGGGGGGTTGTGCACGGGTGCCACACCCATCATGCTATGCACATGACCCCAGTGTGCATGTGCGCACTTCTCCCCTATGCACATGCGCACATAACATTCACTCCCCCTTCACTTTTGGCACACTTTTTTTCACCCTCGCCAGGCTCCAGAGGCTTTCTAGGAGCCTGGGGAGGGGGGAAACAGCCCGCACACCCGACGGAGGCCTTCTGGAGGCTTCCTTGAAGCCTCTGGAGTGCAAAAAACCGGCCCTACAGGCAAACCGGAAGTTCTGAAATGGACTTCCAGTTTGGCCATGGAAGCATTTTTTGGCCTCCGAAGCCTTCAGGAGGCTTTCCTGAAGGCTTTGGAGGGCAAAAAATGGCCCTATGAGCAAACCGGAAGTTTGGGAGTAGACTTCCGGTTTGCTCATAGGGCCTTTCAAAAGAAGGCTGAAGTCAGCTGGCCAGCGCGCGCATGTGTGCTGGAGCTGACAGGGCAATGCCTCGCGTGCCCTAACAAATGGCTCCATGTGCCACCTGTGGCACGCATGCCATAGGTTTGCCATCATGGATAGAACCTATTATTGTACTTATATTGTGCCTATGTTTTTATAATCTTTTACATAAATTGATTCTAAAAAAATAAAAGAAACACTAAATTTTGTTCCGCCGGTTAATAAGAATTAAAATTTAAAAATACAAAATATGTAGCCTATTATAAATCACCATCTTTGTCTACCTCTATATCAATGTACTAACCCAGTATCTGGAAGCTGTGCCATTTTCACAGTTGGTTTAAGATAAGATGGTGTTTCTCCAAGGCAGGAGTGCAACCTGGGGATCCTCTACTGCTCAATCAGCAAGTGGCAGCTGTGGTCAGGAGGTTCATATCATATACCAGTTGTGCCTTTCCCTCAAGTGGGACACCCTTCAGATGCTCACTAACACCTTGATTACCTTCTGCCTGGAATATTGCAATAAAATTATACTCTACATGGTGCTGCCCTTGAAGATCATCAAAAGCTACAGTTGATGCAAAGTGAATAATTTTATTATGCCCATGTGTCATTGTTGCTCCATGAACTATACTGGTTGCTATAGTAAGCTTCTGGATAAAATGAAAGGTGCTGGTTGTCAACTATAAAGCCCTTTATGGCACAGGTACTGGTCATCTGCAGGATTTCCTATTCCCAATTATTTCTATTCACCCAGTACAATGCTGTGTTTGTCCATGTACAATTTATTTATATGGTCTGTTTAAATAAAGCTTTATTGTTTGACTTTACACTCAGAGTTGTTGATAAGTGATTTAATAGCATTTGGGGATTTCATTTCTGATGTAAAAATAGTTATTAAAGCTGGATTATAAACTGAAGTCTACAAATACAATATAATTATAAGATATTTTATAAGTAAAGTATCAAAAATGCTCATATGCATCCATATACTACATCCCAAAGGGGAAAACATGACTGAATACTGCATGTGAACGTATCACTGCTTATAGATGTGGGTTGTAAATTCAGCACGGCACCTCCTTCCCATCTAGGAGCCTTAATATTTTTCAGTTTAAACTTTAGAACTATGTATGTAAATATAATACATAGAATGGCTGGACAGGAATGTTTTTATCTTTGTTAAACCACAATGAACTTTGCTGTAGGTTGCAAGTAAACAACTACCTCAATATTATTAAAGTGGCCTGGTTCTGGTCTAATGTTCCATTATCTGTAGTGGCGCAATGGTTAGAATGCAGTACTGCAGGATAACTCACTGCTTACTCCAGGGGTTTGATTCTCACCAGCTCAAGGTTGACTCAGTCTTCCGTCTTTCTGAGGTCAGTAAAATGAGAACCCAGATTGTTGGGGGCAATATGCTGACTCTGTAAACCGCATAGAGAGGGATGTAAAGCACGGTGAAGCTTTGTATGTGCCTAAATGCTATTGCTATCCTGGATCATGTTATACTCTTGTGAATTCCCCTTAACATTTTTGATGAATTACCTACACAAAGAATGCATTGGTAACTGAAGAATAAGAAAAAAATCAGGAATAATTGCTTATTCTTGCAATAAAATAAGTATACTTCTATCACAGAACATAGGCTGGTAATATGTAACTTAATAAGCTCCCTGCCTCTCATGAAATTCCTAAGTCCATACTCATAGTAGTAAGTAAATCATATTATAATCATTAACAAATTCCAAAGCAAAAAGAAAGCAAATTCTAAGGCAACCAAGAAGAATAAAATTTAATGATGATAAAACCTATGTGGTCAGTCTGCTATTTTTTTACCAATACCAACACAAATCATAACCATGTTCAGAGAATAAACTCACAACCAGTCAGTAACAATTAAATAAAATAGATCTAGATAGCTTGGGGGTTATTAAGTGGAACCAGGCATTTTTATAATAAGGACAATGTAACAAATGTGAGTTAATGTTTTAAGAACTCCTTTACAACAGGGCAAAGTCTTGAGAAGTTTTGTAATTTTTCTTTAAAATGACTATTGGACAGTCAATCTTGCCAGAAGAATGGTAATTTGGTTTAAATATCTATCTGGTTAAGAATGATATGTATTTCCATGTTCAACTTTTCAGATTTTGCTGGATCAGATTCTCATAGTTCCTCACTATTTGCCACACTTGCACTGCTGTTAGAAGCTTTAATTTGTCTATACTGGAAAATCAGAGATCCTTATCTCTGCTTAAAAAAAGAAATATACACTGCCCATGATGGAGTTTAGAAAAGAACACTGCCAGTAGTTGTTTGTGATTAATGGGGTGAAAATGTATTTATATGGAAATTATAAATAGCTGTCAAATTATTTAATCATAAACTTTATTTATTGTGTTATATAGTCAAGATTTGTTTTCAAATGATCTTAACAAAAAGAAAAGATTATGCACGCTTTATAAATCTTTAGAGTAAATTATCTTAAAAGCCAATATTGAAAAGCTACCCAAATCTAGAGAAAAGTAAGAATCCCTAAGGTTGTTACTATGGTACAGCCCTAATTGTCACCCCCAGCAGAAGATTAAACAGTGATCTTACTAAGCAACTGGATGCTTTTTTATTTCAATCTGCTGTATGTTGGTTCTCAACTCCATGGCATAGGAGCTTGGCACAATAGCTAGAGAATATACCCGCAGCAAATATATTTGTAGCATCTAAAACTTCCAGTGCTTACATACAGAAACATAATGCAGTAGCATAGTTACCATTTCTGAACTTTCTTTTCACTAACAAATTGGCCATGGGGCTCAGAAGCACCAGGAGGTAAAAGTGCTAAATAAACTGGAGTCTCAGCTCCCTCATCTGGGCTTTTCGTGGCTCTGGGACCTGCCATATCTGTTCTGACCCACCCAGGACAACAAGCATTCAGGAGAATACCATCGTTTTTTCTTGTCTCATTCAACAGCCTGGCCTGAATTCTTGATAAAACTGTCACTCCAATTTTGGATACTCCATAAGCAGTACTTGGCCAGCCTTCCTTCTCATGCACTCCCTTCTTGGTATCTTCCACAAATTTTTCCATGAGTTTCACTAGCTCCTCTTCGGTGATTGTGTCACTCCGAAATTTCTGCTGCAGATCCTGGTTGCATTTGGACAATGCTGAAATGGAAACCATGCTAGATACATTGACTACTCTCCCTATTCCAAGACAAAAACAACAACAACCACAGGATAAGAATTTACTTTTTTCCCAATTTTATTCATTTTGTAACAATATAATATTTACCCACAAAGAAAAGGAGCCTTTATTCTCTCAACAATTATCAGTGAATCAGCTAGTTCTGCCATCCCATTTTGTATTCTT